CCTTCTGGTTAGCAGTCAAGTGCCTTAGGCACTATGCTTTATGTCCCCTATATTCTGACTTGGCTACAAGTGGATCACCCCCACAATGCCATGATTTTTTCAGTCCCTGGGCACTCCTATCACTGTACCACATTCACTAGAAGGGAACTTCTTAGGAATTAACACAAATCCAAGACAAGAGAGAACTGACTAGACTTTTCTGTATACTGATTATGTATCTTCCTCTACCCAGTAAATGAGCCAATATTTTCAGATTTCTGTCTCCATTTTAAGCATATACATTGATATTTCTCTTTAATGATAAACAAAACTAACAGAATAGAAGCAGTAGAAGATATCTAGAATCTTTCATCTTCATAACCCAGCCTTCAGACCCATCTCAAATCCTACTCTTCCACAAAGCTGTTCTAGACACCTACTGCTGCTCTGACAGAAAATACCACAATTGGGATGGCTTGAACAAACAGGAGTTTATTCTCTCACAGTTTGGGGGCTTTAAGTCTGAGTTCAAAGTGTCAGGCTCTAGGGACTGGGTGAAAGCCCCTCAACCTGGGCTTCAGCTCTGCCTCCTGCTCCTGGGCCACTGAAGCTAGAGGTTTTTCTTCAATCAGACAGCTGCTGGCTGCTAAGACTGACAAGCCCAAGGTTGACAAGTAAAAAGGAAGAGTCCTGACATTACCACACGGCACCATTAATTCAAGTCCATTGGCAGAGTATGGCAGGCTGCTAAACAACAACACGGCTACATGTAGGGTTCAAGTGTGCCATAAGCTAGAGACCATTCCCCAAGGCTTCTCCCTATATACAGGAAGCAGACCACATCCCGAAGACAGCTACTCAGCTGCTCACAGTAGATTCCACCATGGAGTTGATTACTTGTCTCATCATGTTGTTGTTGTTGTTAGGTGCCGTTGAGTCGTTTCTGACTCATGTTGTTGTTGTTGTTATTTGCCATAGAGTTGGCCCCGACTCCTAGCGACCCCTCCTTGGGTTTCCGAGGCAGTTATCACTACGGAAGTAGGATTGCCCAACCTTCCTTCCGAGGAGTGGCT